TCCATTCGTAAACTAAAGCAACTGTTTACGAGTTGCTAGTTGTAAATTGCCTTTTGGAAAATAAAATTAGCCCAAAAAATCGACTAGTAACAGCGTGCAAGTATAATTGAAATAATAAAAAAAACAATCAGATAATGAATGGCAAGATAAATTTGTTGTGATAGATGAAATTTGAAATTTTATCGAAGTTCACTGGATTTTTGCTCCAGAAGTCAAGTGGAGAATATTGGAATTTAACATATATAGTGTATATCCTGTAGTAATATACTTATAAGTTTACCTTCCAAATGAACACAAAATTATATTTCGTGAAAATTGTAATTTAAATGATATAGTTGATATAACCAAGAACCAACAGACTATTCTTACCGAATATTTCAAAATGAACACAACAGATTTTGAAGTGAGAAATTTTTTATATACTGAATTTCCTTTGCATTATACTTAGAACAAATTGACAAAGAAATGGAATAAGATAAAATATGGTAGTTATATTAGAAGAATGTATGTGGTTCATTCAATTCAAAGTGAGTGATACTATTTTTAATTAATTCTCATTAAAGTAAAAGGAACTACAAGTTTTGATAATTTAAAAAATGTCAACTACATTCTTTGTGATTCCTTCAAACAAAGTACTTATTTGAGAGGTACATAGAGAATGATAATAAGTACAAACTATGTACAGTAAAAGCAAGAGAGTTCCAGATATCTACTTAACTTTGTAATTTATTTGCAATCTTATTGGTTTTCGAAGATATTACAAATGAGAAACAACTATAGGAGGAAAATTATATCAGTATGGCAAAGGATTTTACTTAAAAGGAATATACAGAAAACTACAAAATTTAAGCAGTTCTTAAAGAACTCAAAAAGATTATCTAGAGACACGACAAGATGGTAGCTGATTATAATCTGTCTAATTTGTTACTGGATATGAATATTGAAACAATATCAAAAATAATTCTAGAAGAGTTAAATTATAATATCACACTCAAAGAACTTGTCAGAACTAACACTTTAACTGACACCCAATGTGTTGTGTTTGAAAAAATAATGATGTACATTGACCAAAAAAGTGGTGGCATATATTTTTTCTGAACAGTTCTGCAGAAAATGGTAATATATCTTTATAACTGCCTCCTCGCTCACATTCGAAAATGCAATTTGATAACATTAGTAACTGCATCTTCCAGTATTACAGCCTTGCTTTTGAAAGATAGTTGTACTGCACACTTGCATTTTAAAATTCCTATTGTAGTAGATGAAAATACAATATGTAATATCAAGAATCAAATAGACCTAGTGAAATTACTATGGCAAACCATTCTAATCATCTGGGACAAAGCTCCAATGGTACATCATCATATTCCAGAGTCAGTTGAAAAAATGTTACGAGATATTATAAAGAATAACCCTCTTTTTGATGGAAAAATATTTTATTTCAGTGAAGATTTTTGTCAGGTTCTTACAGTAATCCATAAAGGAACAAGAATACAAACCATTAGGATGGCACTTAACAAATTATATATTTAGTTATTCATTAGAATTTTCTCTTTGAACATGAACATGTAAGTTGCAAAAACAAATCTCAATGAAACTCAAGTATTTTTTAAATATTCACTAAGAATAGAAAGCAGAATAGAACCAGTAATAAAAAATGATCTAATTCTTATTCCAAATAACATGATAGTACACTTAAATGATAATAAAGATATCATCGAATGCTTTATAAAAGCAATATACCTGAATCTACAAAACAATGTTATAAACACTTTGTTTATGATTGATAGGACTATATTGACTCCATTGAATGAAGACGTTGATAAAATAAATGCTAAAATAATTCAAAAATATTCAAGTAAACAACAAAGTTTTTATGGTTTTGACTTAGTACCCAATAATACCGTGAACCTGTATCCAACAGAATACCTTAATTCTTTGACATCACAGGGTCTCCTACCATATCATCTAATCATTCACCAGTGATATTATTTAGAAATCTAGATTCCATTAATGATCTATGTAATGGAACTAGATTAATATGTCATTGTCTTGAAAATTGAGTAATTGATACAGAAATTATAACCAACGATCATCAACGAAAATAAGTATTTATACCTAGTGTTGACCGTGATTCACCTTCAAATAAATACGATTAACTAACAACTAAAGGCAGGGAAATATGTATAGCGAACACACAGCAACTATACTTAA